CCACATTCTGATTTGATGCTCCTCAAAATTATTTTTATGCAGGCCCAGCTACCTGATATTTGGTTCTTTTCTCAGCAGTGGTTATAAAAAATGGGTGGGTGCAGCTAGAGGTCACTTTGATAACTCTTAAACACAAATTTTACAATCACTCACCCCAAAAACATTCTCAAATGAGTTAGTATGTCATATTAATTATTATAATGTAGGAGCAGAGTTTCGCTGAATTGCTAACAAACACTGATACAATATATCATGAAGTCAGATTCTCTTCAAACCTCCACCTAATTCGATATTTAAAAGACCTCATAATATGTGTTGTTACACGGGTTGTAATGTAAAAATCTGTGGTGTGATTACCTGCAGCACCTCATATCCAGTCTGTTTGATAAAGTGTCCATGTGGGCTTGCCTGTGTTCTCACCCTTTATGCACACGCATTAATGAGCACAGACGTGTAGATCCAAAAAGTCCAGTGGCAGCACATTTCAGCAAAACAGGACACTAGACTAGTTCTATGAGATACACTGGTACTGAAACAGTTGCCATGTCTTCAAGGGGAAACATCGGCAGCATGGCAGCTTGGTCTGAATAAAAATCATTTTGTGGAGTATCAAATCGATGTGTGGGCTATAATCTTTTTATTTTACTTGTGTTTCAAATAAACGCGGTAATAAGATGAAACCAGCACCTGCAACAGAAGACAATACAGCATAACACTTGGAAACCTTTTTTACGTTTTTTGTCATTTTAACTTTTTTGTTCTGAAATGTGTGACATCAAATGGGCGATCCTGATTTCTGACATATGGCAGGTTGACATCAGCTCAGGAAGATGTGCATCTTTTCTTGTGAGGGCAACGCACTTTTGTCATTTCCCTGACAGTGCTGTGCTTGTTGGTTTGCAGGCTCCAGTGGCTCGGTGCGTTTGCAACCTGAGGAGTCCTCTCAGCAGCTGAATGTTCCCACAGAGCTCTTCAGACCCATCAGCCCTCACAGCCACTCAGACTCAGAGAGTATACCACGACTACCCCCTCCCAGATGCACACACACACTCAGCCGCACACTCCGCAGACAGGTGATTATATGATTTGCTCAAAATTCTGTTCCTGTCATAATGTGTGTACTGGTGACTGCGTTTGTCTGTCAGCAGTTCTCAGCCATGTGTGATTAAGGCTCACTGGTCTAGAGGCTCTTGTTCATACCAAACACTACAGGAGCTTTTACTGTTTAATGTACTTTCTAGTAAAGACGAGGAGGTAATCTTTCAAACAGCTGCTAGAGTGCTTGGTGCCAGTGAAAACCTGTAGGTTGTGAGTTATGAATTACAGAAAGGAAAATTAGGACCACTGACATGGAAAAATGCAGATCTTGAGAATAAAATCTGAATATTCTGAGGGGGGAAGTGGTAATGCTATTATCAAAAAATCATATGAAAATAAGCACAATGATGTTTGTCAAAAATAATATTTAGAGAAACAAACATTGAATGTTTCATAACTAAAGCTGTAGATTTACATAAAAAATCATGTATTCTGGAAAAAAAATATATGTATATACATATAAGCCCCTTCCAAGGAGTGAGAACAGTCTATCAGGACAAATCTAATCCTGCTCAGTGTGAATTCTGAAAATGAGAACAGAGTCATGATCACAGTCATCGGCCACACCTGACCAACCTGCTTTTGCATACAGTATTTTCTGCTATTATTAATGACTTTGAACATTGTGGGCTCTATTTTTCTGCACCAGGGCTCAATGCTAAACTCGTGTCTAAACTACAGGTGCCTATGGGCATGTTCAACAATGTTTTGCAATTTTGGTGACCACAAGCACAGCCACTTTTGTGCGCAGCCAAGCGTTGCCGGGCGCACTGTGGAGGAGAGGCGGAATATATTATTAGAGGGAGGAATACATAGTGAGCAGGTGGAGTCTGGGCTGGCTTTATTTATGTCCACTCAAACCAGCTCCTCTTATCCCCTTTAAAGAGCAGGGCAGAAACCTTGTGGTAGTAACGAAGGTATGTCTGTGCGAAACTTGCTTATTTGAAGAAACTGTAACTTATCAGTACTGATGACAGCAGCCACAGTGAGGTCGGACTGACTTTACCTGCTGCGTAAAAGGATTAATGGAGACGTCTGCAGGGTGTTTGTTATTTATTCTGGCTCATGAGCTGCTTTCATGTTATTATGTGTAAAGTTTAATGTGGATTATTCCCAATCAGATCACCTCTGGCTGCATCCTGCAAGTAGGCTACAGATGATGCATCCTGACGCGCGCCAACACTGTTTGACCATATTCACATCTATAGCCACGTACTGAGGACTGGTGTATCTCATGATACACAGTACATTATTCAAAGTGAATTCTGGCAGATCAGTTGCGTCCATTAAAACACATGCTGGTACCTGTTCTCATGCTTCCCAGCCTTGCGCTTGTCAGGACACTCGCAAATGCACCTGCGAATGTGATGCGAGGTGACATCATTATCGCTATTTCGGGTCTAAACGAGCACTAAAATTGCACTGCGCTGCCTAATTAGCACACACACGGCCTCAACTGCGCCTCTCCTCCCACCTCAGCTAAGCTACTTCATTCACGGAAATACTGATCAGTGCACACTTTCAAGCAGAAGGGGGTCACGCCATCTGGGCCTGGTGCCTTTCCGATCGTTTGTCTTTTAAAGAGGCCACACACATCCTTTTCCAGATTGTTAGAGGTGAGGGACTGAAGGGAAGGGTGGTGATTGTCCGCCTGAGGAAAATTGCATAACAACTGGGAATGTGGCGACGCAGAAATTGCGCTGGCCGGAAAACAGAGCCTGATGTCTAGACTGAGTACAAGTTTACTAAAAACACAATGTAGTTACTATTGCTGGGTCTGAGGTGGGGAGGGTGAGGGGGCGAGTGTTGATTCTCAAACCTGCAGTAAAACTCATTCAGGTCGTCTGCTAGTTGACGGTCCTCCACAGCAGGGGCGATGGCTTCCTGTAGCTAGTGTTTTTTTTTCAAGTCTGCCTTAAAGCAATACACCCATGCATAAATTTAAGGACATTACAATGATTAGAATAATCCAATTCACAGACTCACGCACACTCATGACAAATTGTTATAATTGATATAAGTTCATGTTGGGATACTTGTATCTGTTTGGACTTGGTATGAAGTTTATCATAAGTAAAGCAGAGCTCAGGAACCTAAACAAAAGTTAAAAGCATTGGATAAAGTAATGAAGTCCACTTTCTTCTCAGAATCTCTCATTTTTCCTTCCTAGAGTGGCCCTAAGTCCCTTCACAGACAGTGGTGTACAGCTTTCTTAAATCTCCACCCAAACTGCATGTTCTAAACACTTTCACTTCTCTTCCTCCTTTTGTCTTTCCTTTCTTCCTGGTACTCATATCCGTCACTAACCGATCTGCTCTCTCATTTTCCATATGGTATCTGTTGTTCCCTGATCTCAGCTCAGTTGGACCCAAAAGCCGCCTAACCCTGAGCTACTTCTCAAACACAGATACTCCTGTTTTTGAAATGCACCAGCAGCAGACTGTAGCTACCGCTGGACCTTTCATAAACAATGGGCTCCATCTTCATCTTTAGAGAGACAGAGTCACACGGCCTCACGCACACACACACACACACACACACACAGGCTTCCCCCACCCCTACCCCTTGTCTCTCATTTGCCCAGCTGTTTGTCTGCTGCTAACCATCAGCCACAAATCACCTATAGCTCTCAAACATGAAGCTTTGTCTGTAGGAAACTCTGATGGGACTTAATTATTCTTCTATATTCTTACACAGGTGGGTGTTGCTAATTATTCAGTAGCTGAGTGGTAGAATGCATTCAAGCCAGACAAAGATATTATTTTGCTGAAAACGTTACCCACAATGCAGTGCACTTACTACACCATAAACTATACAACTCAGGGGATTGCTACAGAACAAGTGCTGTCTATATGCATTTGACCGTTTTGTACATGACGACATTGGTGATAGAGCACTTGTGTATCTTCTAATGAATGGTTTAGTTCTTGCTTACTAGGGCACAGTAGTTATTGTTTTAAAAACAAATCCTGACAGGGTGACCATTTTGTAGTACTGTTTCAGTATGCTCTCCTTGTATCCATGACCTTATGTTGTATTGCTGTGGCTGATGATTGGCCTAGACTGGCTGTGATACTTTTTAACCACTAGGTGTTGCTGTGCTCACACCGTTCAGGCTCATGCAGAGAAACCAACACTTCTAAACGTGCTGTGCGCTAAAACTCATGCATGCCAAGTTACCTCATCTGAATTTGACATAGTTATAGTCAAATGCTGCTGAATCTCTGTCTCGTCTGTGAGGAACAAGTCAAGAGTTCTTGAGGATGAGTTTCAGCAACCATTGTGCTTACTAGGCCACATATTGTGGTTACCCTCTGACTGTTGGCCTCACACCCTGTAGATGGTTGTGTGCAGAGGTAAAGGTCTGGTTGTAAATGCTACTGTAGTGCTGACAGTTTACAGAGTTTTGTGTGAATGGTCAAAGGTTAGAGGGTCTGGTGGTTTTGCTCAGAGTTCACTGTGTCAGCACTCGATCAGCTGAGTCCTACTGTTCTATTAAAAAGAAAAAAGCAGTGTGCTGTCCTGAGCTACATCCTGCATTCATATCCTATGAGTAAAACAGCAGATGCCAGATCCTTACTCGGAAATATCATTCAAATCTGATACCTTATAATGTACTGCTTATTTTATTTTAATTTTTTACAAACGAGGGGAAAGAGTTTCACAAGAAGTCATTTTTGTAATCATGATGTTGAGAATATGAGTGCAAGTACCAAATTATACTTTCTTGTGTTTATTTTATGACACATTTTATGACATTTAAGTCTATGCTGATTTTTTTTATTTTTTTTTTGAGGAAACAAGTTTAGTTCTCCAGTTAAAAATCTTAAAGCTGACTTTAACTCCTTACTGAAAACTCCAGGCACTGTGAATATGCAAAGAGAGCTCATGTCCATGGTCTCATTGTAAAGGTAAAACTCTGAAGTTTCATTTTGTAGCCTGTGTTTTACTCCTAGTCCTACTACAGTTACGTTGGTGCTTTTAGATCCCTATTAAACTCAGTAAAAGTGAGCACAGAGAAACTTTCCCCATTCAGCAGATGAATGTGAAAACAGAATTCTAGTGGCAGGCTTTGCTCCCACCTCACTCTGAACAGTGAAATAACAATACTAACGATTTTTGAGTGGACAGGGGCTTTAACAGTCTTTGCTATGAGAATAACAAAATAGTGGCTCTGCCCCAAGAGAAGCGCAGTAAATTAATGAAACAAAAACAAAGACAGTATCCAACTGTGTTGAAAGTTGTCTTCCCAACTTAATATTGACAAATCTTTACTTGGTAGTGCAGTGTAACCTCTGTGTTTCCATGTTATTTTTGGCTTAATGTTGCAATTCTAGTTTAAGCGTCTTCTGGTTAGATGCTAAACTGCATTTCATTGCCTTGTACTTGTACATGGGTAATGACAATAAAGTTGAATCTAGTCTAATCTAATTGAGAAACAGAGGACTCTGGGACGATGCTGGCGAGACTGTGAACCTTGACACAAACTACTGCTTCTCATCTTCATCATCTTTCACTGACTAGTCTCCCCTCTCATCTCCTCTGATCCCCCACACCCTTGGTCCTCACCACTTCCCCCTCCCTTTCTCTCATTGCACATTTACCTCCATCTTTCTCACCCTTCCCTCCTAAATATTTCACCCCCCCTTCTCCCCTCCATGCACCGTCTTCCAGGTCGCAGTGTCTACTGATTCTCAGGAGGCCCTGTACTCGGACGGAGGGGACAACAATGAAGGACTTGTGAATATGGCCTCTCTGGTCCTACCTCCGTCCTCCACCTCTTCCTCCTCCCCCACCTCGCCATCCCCCTGCTCTCAACATCATCAGCAACCTGCTTTCTGCTTGGTTCCTGCCACGCCAGGTGCCTCCCCTAAACCCTCGCGCCCCAGCAGCGTGCACACCCAGTATCATGACCAGCACTGCCTCCACTCCTACTCCTCCTCCTCGCCTCCTCCACTCTTACCAGCCAGACTGCACCAACAGGAGGAGGTCTTGGTGGATCAGGAAGTGTCACTTATTACTCGTGCAGGGTTGGCTGGCAGTGATGACATCATGGCAGAGGACAGCAGCAATGGTATTGAGGGTTACAGCAGCTATGCAAAATGCCAGGAAAACCAGAATCCATGTTTGAGGCAGCTGAAGAGGTTCCACAGTGCTGACACGCAGGGCCGGAACACTCTCCTGCCCCGCCAACGCCCATACTCCTGGTTGGATGACCTACGCCACCACTCTGTAGAAGTGTGCTCCTCGGTGGAGTCCAGCCCTCAGTGCAGCACCACCTCCACCTCCTCCGGCTTTGTGTCACAGGCCGACAGCCTGCAGACCCACAGCCAGACTCCCACTCAGACTTCGCTGCCCTCACCCCGGCGCAAGAAGAAAATGAGCCCTCCCTGTATTTCTGTAGACCCTCCTGATGGACTGGAACCTCAGCCTGGCCTCTACCCAGGCCTGGGTGGGTTTGGGGGCATGGGGCTAGGGGGGTTAGGAATGCCCCCTCCTCTGCCCAGCCGGGACACCTGCCTGAGGAGGAGAGTACCCTCCAGTGACTCCAAGGACTCCTTTGACCTTGGGGTTGGTGAGGGTTCAGGACAGGATGGAGGGTCACCAAACCCCAACACCAACACCAAGCTATTGACTCTTCCCAGTTTCTCCTTTGACAAGACAAGCTCTGAGCACTGAACACTGATACTCCTAACGCACACAGACACACGCACACATCCAAATGAACTCTCCACACACACAAACACATGATGCACTCTGTGTATCTGTGATGGTGATAGTTCTAGTAATAATGCTGGTGAGCGTAACAACAAACAGTAAAAACATCCTTGGTTTCATAAGGAGTGCAGTACTGTAGTAGTGTGACCATCCCTTGTCTTTGTATTGTTACTGCCAAAACAACCAGAGAAGAAGAGATCACATGAAACCAACCTGATCTTTCTCTCCTGATATGCCTGCATGCCACTGGCTGCAGCTTGACTCCATAACCTCTGGAGTGGCATCAGCACCTGGGATGTGGTGGCTTGTGTAGTCACCATCTGAACTGCCCAGTGTTGCACATAGATCTTTCCCGGTCCGTGGAGGTCCAAAGCAATATGAACATTTTAGAGACACTATTTTCTTAAATTATTGGCCCACAGTGTTTGTACAGGATGTTGTTTTTTTTTACTTTCATTTGATTGTTTTTCATGTTTTTTGTGATTTCCTTTCTATTTTGTCAAAAATGGTTTGTCCTTGTCTTTTTTTCACTGTAGGATATTTCTAGCTTTCTTGGTTTACTGAGGAAAGTGAATGTTTTTCAAAGTGCTGAAAACCATGTATTTGTAGGAATAATATAAATACATACATA